AAAAAAAAAAATATATATATATATATATATATGATTGGTTTGTTGAGCACTAAATCATCATATTAGAATGATTTCAGAAGGAACATGTGACACTGAGGACTGGAGCAATTATACTGAAAATTCAGCTTTGATCACAAAAATAATAATAAGAAGAAGAAGTTTTATTTATATAGTGCCTTTCCATAGCTCAAGGTCACGTTACATAATGCTAACAAAACATTTGCACACCCATATACACAATACAAACACATAAGGCCAAATATAGCCACATTAATAAGCTATTTTAAACCGTAATAATGTTTCACAATATCACTGTTTTACTGGATTTTGATCAAATATGCAAACAGTACTACATATCACATTAAATGACAATTGAAATATTTGAAAAGACTCTTGGAATCAATAAGAATTTGAAGCAGTAATTCAGTAGATTCAATTTTGCTAGTCACTGCAACCAAAAGAAATGCATATGTGCAATTAAAAACGTTTTTTTTTTTTCATAACTATAATTTTATTCCCTAAGAGAAAGAATTCAGTACAGTTATAGTATGATAGACAATTCCAAACTTTATTTCACAAGTGAAAATGTACACAATGGTCAAAAAAAGTCAAAACGTTAAAACCAAAGGCTATTAAAATGTGTTACACAGCAAATTAACAATAAAAGGGGAAGTCGAACTCTTTGCAGTGGGTCCCTTTCGCATTCGGTAAAGCGAATCCAATTGCTGAGCTGGAACACGAGCTGAAAGAACTCATTTGTGAGCACATTCAAAAAAAACAAGACAAACAGTCACAGCTGTGACATTCATCTTTGGTCTGAAAGTGTTTGAATCATGAAGCTTTTGGACCTCTTTTAAGGGAAAAGGATAAAAGGGATTACATTCAACAAGAGTTTCAGCAGCGCAGTGAATAAAAGAGCGACAGCAACTGATATCGAGGTAAACATCCTTTTAAAATAAACTACATTTAGGGTGAAAATAGTCTATATTGATAAATAAGAAGTTCAACCCTTGGAGCCCGGTTTGAGTGTGGTGAAGGGTTTGGTGTTCCTCAGCGATCCCGTCAGCTCCTGCAGGAATGCCACGATGTTCGAGTCCCTCTCTGACTTCCTCCCGTCGAAGATCACCACTACGGTGAAGTGCGGTTCAGGCCGTGTGAGGAAGTAGGTGCTCTGGACTTTATCGTCATAAAAGTGGACCACCTTATCCAGAGCGTTGAGTTCCGTTGAGCGGTCACTCATGATCATGATGACATTGGGCCAATGCGTGACCGGCCTTTCTCCGCCGGGAAGCGACACGATGGCCGGAAACTGGTCCACGCCTTTGGGAGCTTCACGGTAGGAGTGCGGATGGTGGTATCCGTGACCCTGGAAGCTCTCGGAGCCGCGGTTGTCAAAGACCAAGGAGACGCTCGAAGCGTCGTGCTTGCGAATGAAGGCTGAGATCTTGCCGAAGTAATCTAGGGAGGTCCGAGCCGTCAGGGTTTTCATTTCGGACTGCGACGTCTGGCGGCTCAGAGCCTCGTGGAAGTAGAAGCTAAACTTGGCTAGGAGTGTCGCTTGAAGGCGCTGGAGCCACAGGTAGAGGTGTGGCGGCTGCACAGCCTTCTGGGATTGGCCTCCGAAGAGGTGTTTCCTGGTTTCTCGTTGCCGTTCGAACACCTGACCCCACGCCTGAAGTTTGGAATGGGCGCCGTGCAGGTTGAGTAGAGACGGCAGGAAATGCCACTCTGAGATCTGCGCCTGGCATCGCAGCAGCTGCGTCAACACGTCCACCTCCACCTGGAAGCTGCTCTCGAGACGGCTCAGGATCGGATGGTGGAATCTAAAAGAAACGAAATGCCACAATATATTGAAATGGTTTAATGCAATAGTCAAATCACAAAGGTTAATTAGTGACAAGTAAGTGACGTGACATGTGGCCAAGTATGGTGACCCATACTCGGAATTAGTGCTCTGCATTTATCCCATCCAAAGTGCACACACACAGCAGTGAACACACACACACCGTGAACACACACCCGGAGCAGTGGGCAGCCATTTATGCTGCGGCGCCCGGGGAGCAGTTGGGGGTTCGGTGCCTTGCTCAAGGGCACCTCAGTCGTGGTATTGAAGGTGGGAGAGAGCGCTGTACATTCACTCCCCCCCACCTACAATCCCTGCCAGTATGAGATTCGAACCCGCAACCTTTGGTCCGACTCTCTAACCATTAGGCCACGACTTACATACACGAATTATGTAATGGGCTGCAGATTTCGAAGTGAAGCTGTGTTCTGTGCACTGTTCATTTACACGCTGTACAAAATTATTTTTATTTCTTCAATTATTCAAATGATTTTTCAGTCATTGAAAAATACATTTATTTTTCATCTACACACTGTACTGAATTATTGAATTATTTTTAATATGATT